TACCACACGACTTCACTCCACGCTACAACCAGCGACAACACCAACTACGTCACCATCCAACTCCAGATTGAACAACCACTACTCCTGAGGTACCTCACTTCAGGACAATTTCTACACTTCACAAGGGACTACATCTCCTACATGATGTCCACACAACAGAACTACTTCCTCCCGACTACACCAATTCCACAGACCATCTACAAGGTGAACTACAACATGACCACCTTCACTGACAACTACAGCCTCAGGAACAACTACCTTTGGAACTACCACATGCCCCTACTACTACCTGAACTACTCCACTACCTTTACAACAGAGACCAACTACACGACTTTCAGCACACGGCAATTACTACAATCCTCTGCAAGAGTATCCAGTACTACGGATTCACACTACGCACCATGACAAACCTCACTCAACATCACAAAGCACTACTACACCGCTTTCTCAGGGGGTACGACCAACACATGTCGTGCCCCGAGATAGACGACGAGCGACTACGGGAGCTCCAAACTACATGACAACATTTTACACCATACATTACTGCGCGACCTTGGACAACAGACTCCAGATGGTCCAAGACTATCGCGCCCAGAAATGGGGACTACATCTTTGATCTCATGCTCCACTACAACGAGTGCCTGCCTCACTACTTCCATCCAGCGCCCTACATCGAGCTGGAAGCTGAACAGCGTGAACTACTGAGCGCAGGTCACTACTTTTGCCACTACAGTAGAATTGATGAACAACAATGGTTTTCATCACTACTGTCAATCCATGTTTTGCACTTCAGTTGAAAAGGTACTACAAAGACCTTTTAACTGAGGGGCCGTGTCAAACTACATGCTTCATCTTTGCACTTGTGTTGCATGTATGTTCACTACCGCAGGCCTTGAGCTTACTGCCCCGCATGAGTCAAAAGGTTGGCAGCTGCAGACTACATCGGTTGACTGTTTGTTTGAACACTACAGCACTTGCACTTGAAAGCAAAGTAACAACCAATTTTAACGAAAGAGAGAGGAGAGAGAGAGGAGAGAGAGAGGAAAGAGAGAGGAGAGAGAGAGGAAAGAGAGAGGAGAGAGAGAGGAGAGAGAGAGGAGAGAGAGAGGAGAGAGAGAGGAGAGAGAGAGGAGAGAGAGAGGAAAGAGAGAGGAGAGAGAGAGGAGAGAGAGAGAGGCAGCGAGGGGGGGGGGAGGGGGCAGAGACACGAGTGTGGGGAGAATGAGGCATAGCGAGGAGGGAGAGAAAGAGATAGACATGGAAGGAGGGAGGGAGAGACAGAGAGGGAGAGAGGACGAGGGAACACACGGGAAAGAAGAAAAGAGAGAGACAAAGCAGGCGAATAGGGAGAATGTCGGACTGCGCCGGAGGCTCTAAAGTTCAAAGTTGAGAAGATTGAATTACATGTAATACATGTCATAACACAAATTTGAAGAGCTTCGGCAGGTTCTTATCGACTCAACGATCGACAACTTTTAGTCAGCCGCGAGTTTCAACCTCGTATTTTCGTATTGAAGCACCACACATGACATATTGCCTTTTCAGTCAGTGTGTCCCGATTTTCTTCCCGATGTGTTTTGTTGTATTCTTTGACATGCTCTTTGCAATTTTGATTCCACTCTTTGGTATATTGTTCAATTGTCTTTCCGTTTCTCTACATTTTGTGTCTTGCTTGTTCCTCATCCATTCTTCGCATATTTTTGTTTTCTCCTCTATGTTCTTCGTGATACTCTTTCACACATTCATTCTTCCTTATATTGTCATTCTATTAACACAGTCATTATTCCATTTAGCTTATATGGTGTCTTTCCCTGTGTCAAAGTTCCTCTTTGTCATTACATGGGCAATTTTCGATCAGGTTAATTTACTGTTCTCCTCACCGAATTCTTGAAACAACTCAAGCGATGTCATCCTACCATATTCGTAATTCTTGTACTGTCGATGATTCTCCTACTGCCTTACCATTTGTTGGCTCAACCCTTGACCAGTGCTTCCAGCATACATTGCTTTTGAAAATGTGTATCCACAAATTGTGTACATGGTACCGTTCTTATGTCTGTGTAAGTATGCTTTTCTCTCTAGATACGGCTAGGAAAAAAACGGTTTCTTCAAATTCAATTTTGTAATATTCCAGCAAGTGCGGCTCAGTTTGCTTAACTATTTTATTCTTCAACGCTTCACAGTATTGTGTTTGTTTGCTTCATAATCACTTGTAGAGCGTGCGAATACTATATTTTGAACGACGTTGTTCATCTTTTGCTTCTCATCATCGTCATTCTTCTTGAGTCTTATTTTTCATCGTTTCTCTTAGCCTTCCGACGGAGCAGCCCCACGACCAAAGCGCGTGGCAAAATTATGAACTGCTTCTAAGTTCATACAACCATCTTTACCCGATAGGCACACATGAACATTTACAATGTCTCTTCTTTTGTATGTCTAGTTCAATTTTCATGTCTAACATCGTTTTGACACATTGGACACATAGTTCAATGAGAAATGTTTATTTCAAAACTTATTCCGCTTCTTCTTATTTTGTAGAAGAACCACAAGAAAACTTTTATGTTTGGGTTTGCTTCCTTCCCATTAAAGTTACCCTTATGGTTCATACATTGCATTCCTAGTTTAATTAGTACTAAGGAATGATGACAACATTGTCTTAATGTCGGCTATTGCCACTTGCTCATCTTTCTCTACTTCGTTTAGAATATCAACACAACCTGAATAACCATTGATAACTAACCTTATCATTCCATGCATGATAGAATAGTCGGACGCTGCGCACTGAACATGCGGAAAAGGCTTGCAAATCAATTATCTTCAATGCTTGTTGATTGAAGCGATGGAATACCTGTTCCATTTCATGTTATTCACAATCCAGCATAACATGATTCTATGTTCCATTCAATATTAACTATAAACAATCTTATACAAGTAGTTGTAATTCTATGCCCGATGCTCCGATAGTAAAACCGCTAAGTATAGCTGAGTACAAGTTCAAACAATCCAACTATGAGCACATGCCAAAACTACCTTTTCATTCCAGCGGTTAGAATCACTAATGAGTGGCACGAAGACAACGACAAACATTATCAAAATATGAGGAAGGAATACTGGGAAAATAACAAAAGCATGTGTAATAAAAGCAAAGAACACTCCTACCGAAATACAGGAACCATATTGGAAGAACGAAAAGAAATTATGGAGTGTGAGCGTGGATATTAAAAGGATGAGAGCAGAAAAAAATCGACGAAACAGGAATAGCAATATTAGTTCCTAACATATCTAATAAGAATGAAGTTGTTAGAGATGTTTATCTTAGGCGACGCTCCGCCACAACCATGAGTATTAAGGATGACTGTGTGGTCATTTGGGAACTGTCTGTGTGGTCATTTGAGAAATGACTGTGTGGTCATTTGGGAACTGTGTATGGCCATGTGGTATTTTACAGAAATGAAAGGTTGCTGGTTCATATTACTTAGTTTTACAACTACTTGAAGAAAACAGCCTTGTATGGTAGGAGGAACATGAGCGAGGGTAAATTATCACAGAACAACGTTGTGCTTGAAAACTGGACTAACTTCCCTGAGGGTTTAAGTGTTGAACAACACTTCTCGCGTGTTTGGTGATGAAGGGTGGCATAGACTGAAACAAAGCGGTGCTTTAATAGATGTGCTAAGAAATGGAAACCCATGATTAGTAATGATGTTGTTGGACAGCGTGAAACTCCAGAAATGACAACTACAAAGTATCACCACGCGATACACAACAAAAGCTAAAAGGCGACAAGGCATGTTCGTATGCAACAAACCCATCGGTACGCTGCTACAGTTAAAAAAGGAATGAATGCTGGACCAAAACTTAACTATGACATATAGACTTGATCACGCTTGACATTTTCAGAACTACCACGTATGAACGTTGGCATTGTTTATGCATAACGCTTGTCGTTTGTAATATGATTGAAAACTGTCAACCTTTATAACCTTTCACTATACTGTAATTGTAGCTATCCTATGAAGAATAGTGATATCACATAAAAGCCACATAAACACGCATTCACATAATATTGTGGAAATATGATGAACTCTTCAAACGAAATAGGTGCTTTATATAATAAAACCATTGATGAGCCCGGTAGTGTCAAATCTGGTAGAAGGTTCACAATCTGTCAGGAATGTAGAAGAAAAGACAATCAACAGGGGTAAAGGCAATGTCAAGACCATGGCCTGAAAACAAAAACTACGGTAATTGAAGAAATGTAAGACACTACAGATCATGTCCAAAGCACGCGGAGCAATTCAAGCAACACCAAGGTTTTATGAAGCGCTAGTCGCTGACTTCTACAACTTGAATAATGACGTTTGAAGAACAAAGGTTCTGCTTTATTTAAATTATGTTGAAGGTTGATACCACCTACTGAAAACCACGGAAAAAGTGCGGTTTTTGGACAATTCACTGCTCCAATTTATGTGGTAAGTAGTGTTTGTAGTCTTGTAGAAGGGAAGATTAGGTTTTAACAACATTTGTCAAACCATTTCATCACAGCACTTTCTCGAGTAATATCTAGAACATCAAACATCACAAGCATGCAACAATAGTGCGTTGTACTGCTACAACACTATTTGTTACCCCGTATCAAAACCCAAAAAGTAATAGGTTGGAGAGCAGTTACTTGTGGAACTCAAACTCAAACGCGCTGATATCATGGTAAGGTCATCTAATTTCTCGATCTCTTCAAACTGCTTCACACATAGTGAGTGAACCAAGCGTAAGATAGCGTAAGCCTTGAAATCAGTCTGAAGGCCCAACACACCAGCTTTACAAATGGTCACTCCAACAAAGTAGAAACGGTACAAGTCACTTCGAATGGTCTTGTTTTTAAGCAGAATTCTGCAATTGCCTTATATGGTCCGGAAAGGTCAGCGAATTCCATTCAATTTCACCTCCCCTCAGAGTGGCCAAGACTGGGTTTGGTCGAGAAAAAAAAACGCCATGTCTCCTCAATGGAGTACATGTCGTGATGCGGCGGTGGAGATATCAGCCCCACCCCTGGGGTGGCTTTCCGCGTCTCTGCGATCTTGCCGATCACCTGGCTGCAGTCCAAACAAGAAGCCAACAATCAATGAGAAACAAACTAAAGGTAATAAGTGAAGCTGACAATGTACCGTATTTAAAGACAGCAGCCAACCGTCTGCCAGCGTGGGCAGCAATAAGCAGTCATGGGCTCCGAAGTCGCAAAATACAGTAAAACATGCTGAGCACAACAGGCACGCAGGCCGCGCTGGGCAGATTTGTCACAAATGCGCAAGGCATCCAAGGACGGAGTCAGAGGGTGCAGCGACTCACAGTGGTTCATCAGCGGCAAAGGGACAGCACTGGGCAAGGAACAATTTCCAGCGTTGGCTGACGGCCCCCGCTGCCCCCAGCCCAGACGCAACAGCGAAGTGACAGCAAGGGTTGGGCAGGTAGCGAGCCAGGCGCCGAGCCCAACTTTGGAGGACCCTCAAACAGCCAGTCGGCCAGGAAGGAGGCTTGCCCCGGCAATGCAGGCAAGCACGTAAAAAAGCAAGCCAGCAAACAAGCAGACACAACACAACACAGCACACAGCACAGAACACACACACAGCACAGCATCGCGCAAGCACAGCAGAAGACAAGACAAGGCAAGACAAGAGGCCAAGCAAAACTAGACACAAAACAAACAAAGATAAAACATAACGCGCAGGCCGGAGAAAAAAAGGCTCTTGGGGTTGAATTTGGAACAGGCGTTCTGTCACACCGTCAAAATAAGGCCGCCCACAACTCGTATAGGGCGGGGCGCTTCCATGCAAACTGGCAAAGTGGTTGTTTGCCCCCGTTGGTTTGGCAATTCCATTCCAACTGCGGTTTGGGCAAAGAAGACAGGGAAGCAAAAGGTCACATCGATCACGAAATGACCAAAGCACCCAGTGACACAACTCAGGACAAAGGTGGGGTCAATAAGTGTCCTAGGTTTCCTGCCAAGCCGTGTGGCAACGGTGGCAACGGAAAGTTCAACGAAACACGAAGCAGGAGCGAGAATGAACGAGAATGAGGTCGCGAGGCATGGGCCTTGTGGCCCGGCAGCTCACCGCCCTCGCCGGGCTTGGCGCCCTGGGCCAGCTTGATTTGCAGCTCCTGAGCGAAAGCGGAAACAAGAAAGGGAGCCCGAGCGGAAACAAGAAACACGTTGACTCCTGCGAGCGCTTCGTGGGAGAAGATGGCAGAAAAAAGGCGGGATTGGATTCCGTGCGAGGACACCGTGCTATCCCCCAACTCCAAGCCAACTTGTCGGCACACCAAGTTCGGGAGACCTCTCAATGAATGCCCCAGCCTGTTGCCCATGTCCAACGCAGCACAGGACGTCGTTCTAACCGGGATACTTGGAAAGAGTTCCCCCAGCAGAACAAAAGGTCAGGGTTCAACAACGCGGGGTCCGGTTTTTCCAACAACATCTTGAGGTTCTTCCTCCGTCAAGTCAACCAACGAGATGCAAAGAACTGCAAATTGGTAGCCCATATCGTTCAAAGGCTTGGTTGAACACCTGGATGTTTGTTGAAACACGCTTTTAAGTGTTGGTTGAAACACTCCGAATGATGGCTGAAACAACATTGTTGCTTGCAACACCCCTACTTTGTGTTCACGCAGAAGCATTGGTCAAACAGCACCCACCCTTGTTGAAACGCCATGAAACGCACTTGTGTTGAACAGCACGCCATTTTTGGTTCGCAATGTCCACAGATTGAACCGAGATGCGTCGGCGTTGGCCAAATATTCCGCTGTGACGCCAAAGCGGCCGGAGGCGACCTCTCGAGAAATGTGGGTGTGTGTGTGTCAAAAACGGGCCCGTATCATAAAACTCTGGGTTATCTATGAGTTGCATGGCCTGAGTAGCATCTTCCTGCGGAGTAACAGGGGTGATCTGTATAAACCAAAAAACTGCCTGCTACCAACAAACCGTATCCTTCATCGCGCTTACCAACCCCTTAGGCACGAGGAATGCGGGGGCACCGGGAGCTTGGTTCACACAACGTTTTCATCAACAAAAAAAACACACCACAAAGCATCGAAACCAAGCCCCTCAAAGGAAACACCCCAATCCAGTTGTGAGAAAGCTTCTTGTTACCTTGTTGGGACACTGCGTCCTTCTTGTAGGTTCAATCAATGCATGTTCCACGCCGCTTTTGGCAGAAATGTTGGACATAAGTGCACACATGGCTTTTAATCTCTGCGTCCAGCTTTGTCTGATCAAACGCGCTGACAGCGGTAGAAAACCAGCAGACATTGGAGAAGAATACGTGGACATTTGCGAGAACTGAACAGAATCAACGGCCTTGCCGGTAAAACACGAAGCAGCACTTTCGCACCGAACGGTTCTTGCCTGATGCAGTCTAGACTCACAATGGAAGCCTCAGCGTAAGGCTTTGGCACGCCTAATGGCTTGAAGGGACCCGGCGACTCCAATTCAGAGACGGCGTGACGCCAGCGGGGCAAGTTTGCAAGCGCGGCAGCGACCCTTAGCGCAAGCCAGGGCCAACCACTCGTGGCCTTAGACCTTAGCGCCAAATGGAACTCATCAACAGCCGTACGGGTCGTTCAGGCAGAAAAAAAAACCATATGAGTGGGACTCATCTGACTTTTGACATAGCGCACAGCGCATGACTCGTACGGCTGCACAGCTTGGGCTCCAGCAAAGGCCTGCAAGTCGTAAGCCAGCGGAGACACGCGCATCGTTATTGCGCCGCAAATATAATGGTCCAAGGCGCGCAAGACCGGCACTGCAAACAGGAAACGTCCTTGGACATCAGGTGAAAACAGGACTGCGCCCAGTGTTCCGCGTTCTCTGTCCCGAGAAACTCTATGAGGTTGACAGCCAACACTCACGATCCTGCTGGAATCGCTTGCTGATATCTCATCTCGGCGTCGAGCAGCGCAGCTGAACTGGCAGGATTGCTCATTAAAATATTCTTGGGCGCTTGTGCTGTGGAAGTGCGAGGTTGAGCGGTCATGAGCTACGCGAGACTCTGGATGGTCTGGGCGAAGGTGGTACAGAAAATTGTTCCTTGAAAATCGTTCAGCTGGGAACGTTTGCTGCTTGCGGCTCGAGACCATTCAAGTGCTGGTCGGGCCGACCCTTTCAGCTTCTGGTCAACCTTGTGCGGAACTGCAAGGCGCGCATTCCTCGCGCCAAGCTGAAAAAAGGACTGGCAAGGAAACGTTTCGTCTTCTAGTTCATATGAACTTACTTAACCTTCCGCTAACCCGCTGCCTGCAGAGGAGCGTTTTGTTAGCAAATGGTTTTCGCGGACATAACTTGGCAAGACTTTAAGGCATGTCGTTTCCTAGCCCAGTTTTAGCATCGTGTTTAGCTGGCTGTTGCTGCCGACCCTGAGCTAGTGGCAAGCGCTGAGGCTTCGGCCCTCTCCTTGAAGGGAAGTGGCGGTGCGCGCGCGCTCTTTCGCGCTAGCGATGGTAATTTTGTGTCTTATCCCGGAAAGAGGCCCCAAATAGTATTGGGTTCAACTTGAGGACAGGTGGCCCGGAAGCATTGCAATTTGTCCTTTCTCAAGCGTAGCTGCTGCGAGTTCTGATGAGCAAGCTTAGCATCATGCTTCACAATCTCTCCTGCCAACGTCTCGCGCAAACGATGCTGTGGCTTGACGCTGCGCGCGAAGCTGTGCGTGATCTTGCGCGTGATGTTGCGCATGATGTCGCATGACGATGTGAACGAGGCAGCGCATGATGCTGCACATGATGCTCTGCAACCTCTCTTGCCAATTCTTTCATGCCCTCTCTTGAAAATATCTTGCCCATATCTGTGCGCAGCTTGGCTGTGCAAGAAGTCTGGCGCTTTTAGCTGCGGAAGTGTACTTCGCATACTGCTTTTGCGCTACAAGTTGTGACTCTCGCGCTGCAGATACGGATGTGCAACTCGCGCTCTTTTTTCCCCTTTTAAAGTTGCAACTTTTTCAACCTGGAGATGCGACCACTTCCAAACAACACTTTCGCGATTGAAAGTTGCGATGTCCGAGCTGGAGCTGCGGGGGCGCCTGTGCACGTAGCCACTTACGATTTTGCAGCTGGAGCCTTGCGCCAGAGCCATGGGAACGCACTTCGCACACTCCTCGGCGCACTTCGCGCACGATTGTACTTAAAACTTGCCACGTGGCTACTTTACATAGCGCACTTTTACAGAGCTCCGGAAATGCTCTTCCCGTACTACCTTACCGGAGCTGGAGTTTGCGGAAATGCTCTTCCGGAACTTGCGAGCCGGAGCGGCGGGACTTTGCGTGGCTTGCGTAGCGATTGCGCCGAAGCTGCGGGAGCGGGCCTCTCAAGGCAACTCCAAGTCCCGCACAGCTTGGGAGTGAAATCTGAAATCGATTCGTGAGACGAGTTGAGTTGCTAGTGTCCGCTCCCGTTTTCTTAGGTGTTCCTGTCTCGGCCAAATCATATACCAGTTTTGGGTCCCGCCGGAAGTCGGGGGGAGCAAGCGCAATTTTACAGGGTTGAAGCCGGTTGCAAAGCCATGACCTGCTCGAGCCCCGAAACGCAGCACCCAATGGAAAACGTGCGTTTGGCCAAACAGCGTCTCCCAACTTCAGCTTGCAGTCGCAACGTTCGCTTTTAGTTCTTCCACTTGACAGAAAGCACACAGATCAACCCTGGAATCTTGGCGGGAACCGTGCTCCATGTGAATTTGCATGGAGACTAACACTCGTAGGCACCTGGCACGCCATGTGAGCTCGCCTGCTTGATCTTCGAACGGAAGGAGTCCCCTCCCACGATGTCCCACTTGACGCCGCCAGCGTCCCACTCGCCCACGTCCAGGTGGGCAAAGCGCAACGGGTCCTACTGCGCTTTTGGAGGGCCGTCCAATCCCGAGCAAGGACCCAATCGACCAAAGACCAGCAATGCAACGTGGCTCATTGAAGCATTGAAATCTGGATCTTCGACAAAGTCGCGCTAACGTCTACGGACCACCATACTCAGGTTCCAACCAGGTTCCAACCAAATTGTCCCACCAAGTGGAAACAGCACCAACCACCAAACGGAAACTTGCCTCGCCAAGAATTTGTTGTTTTGCTACCACTCTTTTAGGGAAATGTACTTGGCGTCGCTTGGAGCCCTTTTGACTCCTCTCCGCCCTCGCCGGTGTTACTCTTGCCCCCGATGCGGTTCATGGCGATGGCCATGGCCCGGTGGGCCTGGAGTGAACCGCACCCTTTAGTCACTCCGAAGCCCGCCAAAACACCGGGAGGAAAAGAGGTCGGTTTGCCCAGAATCCGTCAGGCCCATTCAGGTCGACCCCTCTAGGGTACTAGCCAAAAGAAAAACAAACACAACGAGGTCAGCTTTGGAGCTTCCTTCTAGCATCAGTTGGCCAACCTACGCCAGCACAGACTTTGTTCAATTGGGGGGTCATGCTATCAGAGGTCCAGCAGTCCGGCGCCGGCCTGAAGTTGCCAACGTCGATGAAGGTCTACATGACTAATACGCACACGTCTGTAGAACTTGCCATGGATTGGTCCGAGATCAAAAGTCACGCTTCTGACTTTAACATGGTCCAGTCATCGCCGCAGAAGTGATCCCAAAAGCCTTCTCACTCTCTTGCTGCGGGCCCAGTCTGGAGTTATCGGAATTTGGGGACGATATCTTGATATCATTGACAAGTTTGGAAGTGAGGAAGAATCCAAGTGGATGATTAGCCACGTTCAAAGACCCGAAACCGACTTTTCCTGGCTGGCTCGCCCGCTCGCGACCTCCCCAGACGCGCCTCGTCGCTGATGGATCCGAAAGAGGCTGCGCCAGTGCAGAAGCGCTTCACGATCTCCACTGCCGGCTCCACCTGCGCAAGCAGTAAACACCGCGGCCTTGTAAAATGGCCCCTTGCCGCCTTAAGGGGATACCGGAAGGGCACTGAGTTTTGACGCACTCGTCAAGGGGAAACATGCGTTGAAATGGTTACTTGTGCATCACACTGATCGACCATCATGAAAAGTTTGGATGAACTTAAAGAGGCTCCATCGCTTGAAACGGTGTTCCTCTAGTTGCCGTCACGGCTTCGATGACACGTGAAATGGACATGAGCAACTAAAGATCAACCCGCTTTCCACGCAACTGGCTGCCGTTCCAAGACTGCGATGGTGTTGCAAGGGCAGTTTTGGGGATCCCAAAGTCTGACACACATGCCAGAGTTTGACGCTGCCAGAAAACTTGGCTTAAAAGTGGGGATCTGCCTAGGGCAAGAAGTGTTGTTGGCTCATCTAACGCTGCAGTAGGATCTGGCTCAACGGTCGACCGACCCTTCTTGTTGCAACAACCTGCGGCTGATCCTGATGAACCTTCTTCTTCGTCCTTCAGGGACTTGTCTGCCAATGTAAAGATGGTCTTGGCTTTCCACAGGTTGACCATTGGCTTCTCGCCTGTGGAGAAGTCTCCAATTGTCTTTGTCTGGATCTTTACCTTTTGCTGCATCAATCATGTTACACACCCCAAACCTGGCCCAAAATAGCTTGTCCTGGTTTGGAGCTCCTTTGTTTCACATCGCCTCGTTCAGAGGCACCGGATCGCACTCGTCCGCCCGAAACTCAAGCTGACCCCGGATCTCCGTCTGCTCCGTAATCCTGAGCGGTGGCAAAGCGCAAGCTTGAAGGAAATGCGTTGGGCCAGAACAGGCAAGTCTTTTCAAGTTGATTTAAAGGCACATGGTCTTTCCAGAGCGGGGACCCTTAGAAAAGGGCGCCAACGCCCACAAAAACAAACCGAGATGTGGAAAACCTCAAAGGCTGGCGCGAAACCATAAACCGATAACCCCTAGTCTACTCTTGGCACAAAATGCCGAATTTAGCCACTTCGGGTGTCTTGCCCCAGATCCACGAGTATCTTTGAGTAGGCAACAAAACCTAATGACTGGGCCAAGAAGCAAAACCAAGATCAGATCGGTCATTGATTGCCCACAGATTGTAAGAGATTAAGACTTCACCCGGCAGCAGCAAACGCTTGTCATCGTCACTGTCGCCATTTTCCTCCTCCTCCTCCTCCTCCTCCTCCTCCTCCTCCTCCTCCTCCTCTCATCATCAGCGTTGACAGAATCGGTATCGTCACCATCATCACCATCGTCATTGTGATCGTCAACATCGCAAGTACAATCGCAATCACCCTCACTTTCACCATCACCTGGTTATAGCACCCGTTCCCATCTTGTTCTTCTTTGTCAGCTTCAAACAAAAACATGTTGGTGGGACAACTCGCAGAACTGTGGCATCAGTGACACCACCGCAAGGTCGGGGGAGCATGATCGCTGGCACAACGCAAGAAACATGCACACCTAACCACAGCACCGACAAGCTTTCATACGCACGAGTCGTGTAAATATCTGCTTCAGCCACGCAAAAACCGGCGCCGAATCGAACGGTGAGACCATGAACACTCCTAAAACTCCGGTCTCGAGCGCAGACAAAGCCCACTCCAGACGGGAGAGTGCCCAGCTCCCAAGCAGCTTGTTTTGCCAAGTGGAGAACATCTTGTAGGCCTCCGAGGAGTTGTTCTTAGCCGCCTCTTGCCTCGCAGAAGCGTCGAAGTCATCGCTCAGTTGGCGAAAAAGAAAGGGGACGCAGAACAAGGGCTCTACCCGAGTCTTCGACGCAGTGGATCCGGGCTCTAGGGCTTTCCGTGAGATACGCCTGGACCGGTCTGGCCAGCCCACTGGAGGTCTCTCTCTCTGACTGTCTGAAAGAGAGACAAAAAGACGGAAAGACAGAGACACAAAGAGACAGAAAGACACAAAGAAAGACAGAAAGAAAGAAGAACAGAAAAACAACCCAAAGAAAGAATTATGACTCTCTTTCTTTTCGTCTGTCTGCCGGTCTGATTTTTCTTTCTGTAAGTCTGCGTTTCTGTTTTTTGGCTTGCTGTCTGTTTGTCTTTCTTTAGCTGTTCTTTCTGTCTTTTTGTCTTTCTCTATCTGTCTTTCTGTTCTTGTTTCTTTCTTTCTGTCTGTCTGTCTGTCTGTCGTTCTTTCATTCTGTCTGTCTGTCTGTCTGCCCGTCTTTCTTTCTGTCTGTCTAACTCTCTTTCTCGCTTATTTTTGTCTTCTTTCTTGCTTTCTGAAGAGAGGCAGAAAGACAGAGAGAAAGAAAGAAACAAACAAAGACACACAACCAGAAAAAAGAAAAAGAAAAGCACGGAAAGAAAGACAGAAAGGCACAAAGGAAGAACGACACAAGGACAGACAAACAGACAGACAGAACAAAATAAAGACAGCTAGCGAGAAAAAAACAAGCACAAAGAAACAACAAAGAAAGACAGAACGAAAAGCAAAAAAGGAAGACAACCAGCCAGCAATAACAAGACAGAAAGAAAGGTACAGGAGAAAAAAGAAAGACAGACAGACAGAAAGAAAGACAAACAAACAGGAAGCAAGACAAAGGAACGATAGACAGACGGACGGACAGAGAGAAAGACAAGCAGAACGAAAGACAGACAGCAAGAAAGAAGGAACGCAAAACAAAGAGACAAAAGGCAAACATGAAAGAAAGAAAGAAAGAAAAAAGAAGGACAAACAGCAAAAACAAAGAAAACAGACAAAAAGAAAGAAGAAAAACTGAAAGAAAGGCAGAGAGCCACAAAGAAAGAAAGAAAGAAAGAAAGAAAGAAAGCAAGAAAGAAGAAAGCCGCAAAGAAAGAAAGAAAGAAAGACAGAAAAAAGAAAGAAAGAAAGAAAGAAAGAATGAAAAAAAGAAAGAAAGAAAGAAAGAAAAGAAAGAGAGAAATAAAGAAATACAGAAAGAGAGAGAGAAAGAAAGAAAGAAAGAAAGAAAGAAAGAAAGAAAGAAAGAAAGAAAGAAAGAAAGAAAGACAGACAGAAAGAAAAAAAGAAAGACATAAAGAAGAGAAACACAGATCGCAAAACAAAAAGCAACAAAGAAAGAAAGGCAGAAAGCAACGAAGGCAAAACAAACAGAAAGACAGAAAGAAAGAAGGAAAGAACGAAAGAAAGACAGACAGAGACCTACAAAGAAAGAAAGACAGAAATAACCAAAAAAGCAACAAAGAACGACAGAAAGCCACAAACAAAAGCAGAAAGAAACACGGAAAGCCACAAAGAAAGAATGAAAGGACGAAAAAAGAAAAAGCATAAAGCCACAAAGACAGACAGAAAGCCAGAAGGGAAGAAAAACAGGAAGACAGAAAGACAGAAAGCAAGAACGAAAGAAAGACAGAAAGAAAGAAAGACCAAAAAGAAAGACAGAAACAAAAAAGAAAGAAAGCATGGCACAAAGCCACAAAGAAACAAAGAAAGAAACTAGACCACGGCTGGCCCGAAAGCATAACATCGCAAGCGAGGTCGGCCCAACGCTGCAGGATGCGTTCTTTTTCCCTACACGAAGCATTCGTGAAGCAAGCGCGCGACAGCACCAGGCAAGGTGCTCTGCGCAAACTGGTCGGTGCAAGTTGGTCTGCGCAAGTTGCTCTACGCAAGTTGCACTGTGCAAGTTGCTCGGCGCAAGTTGCTCCGCGCAAGTTGCTCCGGCAAGTTGGTCCCTGCAAGTGGCTCCCTGCAAGTTGCTCTGTGCAAATTGCTCCGTGCAAGTTGCTCCCTGCAAGTTGCTCTGTGCAAGCTGCTCTGTGCAAGTTGCTCTGTGCAAGTTGCTCTGCGTAAGTTGCTCTGCGCAAGTTGCTCTAGGCAAGGCGCTCTGCGCAAACTGGTCGGTGCAAGTTGGTCTGCGCAAGTTGCTCTGTGCAACTTGCTCTGCGCAAGTTGCTCTGCGCAAGTTGCTTTAAAATGCAAGTTGCATCTTGCGACGCCCGCCCGCGGACCAGGGAGGAATCGAACCCGCGACCCGCCGGTCCCGGGAGCAGGCGCGCGAACCACGAGACAACTCCCGAGGACCAGTTCGAACAACAAAAGTCGCAAAAAACCTCGAGTTTTTGCACCTCGACCACGCCGATTCCCGCAAAGGGTTGTGCGAGCACCGCAGAAATCGCAAAAAAAAACCTCGAGATTTTGCACCTCGACCACGCCCATCCCCGCAGAGGGTCGCGCGGGAACTTTAGAAATCGCAAAAAACCTCGAGTTTTTGCACCTCGACCACGCCGATTCCCGCAGAGGGTCGCGAGCACCGCAGAAATCGCAAAAAACCTCGAGTTTTTGCACCTCGACTACGCCCATCCCCGCAGAGGGTCGCGCGGGAACTTTAGAAATCGCAAAAAACCTCGAGTTTTTGCACCTCGACCACGCCGATCCCCGCAGAGGGTCGATTTTCGTGTGGTGTCGTCGGCACTACCCCGCCGCTCTAAGAAGAGATTTTAACTCCTCGCAAGTCAATTGCACTTGACTCCTTGCACTTGCAACTTGCACTCGACTCCTTACACTTGCAACTTGCACTTGACTCCATGCACTTGCAACTTGCACCTGACTCCTTGCACTTGCAACTTGCACTTGACTCCTTGCACTTGCAACTTGCACTTGACTCCTTGCACTTGACTCCATGAACTTACAACTTGCACTTGACTCCATGCACTTGGCTCCTTGCACTTGGCTCCTTGCACTTGCAACTTGCACTTAACTCCGTGCACCTGCAACTTGAACTTGACTCCATGCCCTTGGGTTCGTGCAACTTGCAATGACTCTCATGACCCCTTGCAATGACTCCTTGCAATGACTCCTTGCAATGACTCCTTGCAATGACTCCTTGCAATGACTCTTGCAATGACTCCTTGCAATGACTCCTTGCAATGACTCCTTGCAATGACTCCTTGCAATGACTCCTTGCAATGACTCCTTGCAATGACTCCTTGCAATGACTCCTTGCAATGACTCCTTGCATGACTCCTTGCAATGACTCCTTGCAATGACTCCTTGCAATGACTCCTTGCAATGACTCCTTGCAATGACTCCTTGCATGACTCCTTGCCATGACTCCTTGCAATGACTCCTTGCAATGACTCCTTGCAATGACTCCTTGCAATGACTCCTTGCAATGACTCCTTGCAATGACTCCTTGCAATGACTCCTTGCAATGACTCCTTGCAATGACTCCTTGCAATGACTCCTTGCAATGACTTTCATGATGATGATTCCTTGCAATGACTCCTTGCAATGACTCCTTACAATGACTCCTTGCAATGACAATCATGATGATGATTCCTTGCAATGACACCTTGTAATGACTCTCATGAGAACAACTCAGCTTTCGGGAATAAAGATAGAAAGAAAGAAAAACAGAAAGCAAGACAGAGAACTAGACCACGGTTGGCCCGAAAGCAGAACATCGCAAGCGAGGTCGGCCCAACGCTGCAGGATGCGTTCTTTTTCCCTACACGAAGCAATCGTGAAGCAAGCGCGCGACAGCACCAGGCAAGGTGCTCTGCGCAAACTGGTCGGTGCAAGTTGGTCTGCGCAAGTTGCTCTACGCAAGTTGCACTGTGCAAGTTGCTCTGCGCAAGTTGCTCCGCGCAAGTTGCTCCGGCAAGTTGGTCCCTGCAAGTGGCTCCCTGCAAGTTGCTCTGTGCAAATTGCGCTCCCTGCAAGTTGCTCTGTGCAAGCTGCTCTGTGCAAGTTGCTCTGTGCAAGTTGCTCTGCGTAAGTTGCTCTGCGCAAGTTGCTCTAGGCAAGGCGCTCTGCGCAAACTGGTCGGTGCAAGTTGGTCTGCGCAAGTTGCTCTGTGCAACTTGCTCTGCGCAAGTTGCTCTGCGCAAGTTGCTTTAAAATGCAAGTTGCATCTTGCGACGCCCGCCCGCGGACCAGGGAGGAATCGAACCCGCGACCCGCCGGTTCCGGGAGCAGGCGCGCGAACCACGAGACAACTCCCGAGGACCAGTTCGAACAACAAAAGTCGCAAAAAACCTCGAGTTTTTGCACCTCGCCCACGCCGATTCCCGCAGAGGGTTGCGCGAGCATGATAGAAATCGCAAAAAACCATGGTTTTTGCACCTCGACCACGCCGATCCCCGCAGAGGGTTGCGCGGGCACCGCAGGAATCGCAAAAAACCATGGGTTTTTGCACCTCGACCACGCCGATCCCCGCAGAGGGTCGCGCGGGCATGATGGAAATCGCAAAAAACCATGGGTTTTTGCACCTCGACCACGCCGATCCCCGCAGAGGGTCGCGCGGGCATGTTGGAAATCGCAAAAAACCTCGAGTTTTTGCACCTCGACCACGCCGATCCCCGCAGAGGGTCGCGCGAGCATGATAGAAATCGCAAAAAACCATGGGTTTTTGCACCTCGACCACGCCGATCCCCGCAGAGGGTCGCGCGAGCACTATAGAAATCGCAAAAAACCATGGGTTTTTGCACCTCGACCACGCCGATCCCCGCAGAGGGTCGATTTTCGTGTAGTGTCGTCGGCACTACCCCGCCGCCCTAAGAAGAGATTTTAACTCCTCGCAAGTCAATTGCACTTGACTCCTTGCACTTGCAACTTGCACTCGACTCCTTACACTTGCAACTTGCACTTGACTCCATGCACTTGCAACTTGCACCTGACTCCTTGCACTTGCAACTTGCACTTGACTCCTTGCACTTGCAACTTGCAGACTCGCGCAATGACTCTCATGAC